ATTTAAGCAAATACAATGGTAATCCAAAATTGTTAGACTGTGCTATTTTAAAACTCAACCTCCAAGTATTCAGAAAATTTACTAGTTCAGAACAACTTATTATCAAGGTTTCCAGGTTACCATGAATTCTACAGTCTCACTCCATTTTTTCCCTCCCAGAATAAAACTTAGAAAATCAAAGAGCACATTTACTAAGTATATGTTTCAGTCTCCTAAAACACATTTACTGTTCTATATTATGAAAACTATTAGTGCCATCAGTATTTTATCCCCTAATTTAAAATAACTTCAAGCTTTAATACTACAAATATAGTTTTCATATTCCAAGTGATAACAAAAGCAGACATTACAGATTTCACATTTAACATGACTATTAGTATGGAACGATATTTACTTTTTCCATAAGTAAAAAAGACAGTAACACTTTTTGAGTCAAGAAAGTCACTCAGCAATTTCTGAATGTCTAAGAACTATCAGAGGTGAAATAAATGTGATACTATAACCATAGAAATTTGATACCTGTGTAAGAGGAATGTCAAAAGCACTAAAGGAAAACGGTTTCCAGGAAGGAAAGATCACTGTGGCCTAAAATGAACTAAAGACCATTTCAGAGACAAGCTGGGGTAGGATTCAGGGACAGAAAGAAGGAATTCGAAGCTGAGGGAAGCCATGTCATCTTTTTTCTTAATAAAAATGTCTAATTCAAAATATCAAATAATGAGATACATTCAAGTAAAAATTTAGAGAAACATTCAATGCTTAATATATTAGTCATTAAGCTATTCAAGTCACACATATATATAAACAGTACTTATCTAACCTGTGGCTTTATAAAACCCTTCAACTTAAACTTGAAAGAAGAATCTAGGAAAAGAAAGAAAAATAAAAAGGAGCTATAAATAAAGAGGAAAAAGTCCTTCGGCATTAAATCTCAGTATTCTTTTCTCAGTGTTAAAAATTTTCTATTTTCTGGGCCTTTTACTTTCATGGCATTTTCTCCTAGTATATTCAACATTTGTCATTTTACTTTAACTTGGAAAAGTGATAAAAGTTCACTTTGAAAGGAAATACATTTTAGTAATAATTTCCTGTCCACAAGAGGGCTCCAATAATTCTTCCATGAATGGAAGTGATATAACAAAAACTACAATAAAAATATTCATTAAGCACATAAAATATACTGGAAAAAACTTGAATTGTCATTATCTCATTTAACTCCTATTACAAATTGTTTTCTGTTATAATTTCTACGTTAACAGTTGTTAAAGATACAGGGCTTTTCTTTAACTGCTTTATCAACTAAAATGTTTCGAATCACAAAATTGCTTTGCCATTATTCTCACAATGTCAATTTCTCTCTTAAAGTTTTCAATGTAATAGATACTATAAAGTATAATTTTAGTCCAAAGCTCTAAATAGCCTAAATATTATATACAATACTCTTATAAAAACAAGAATGTACTTCCTGATAACTTTATCAATCCACAAAACAAAATTACCATTGCTGCCCAGTTTTAGACCTTATTAACATAAGCAGTAAATATTTTCTTGCAGAAAACCTACAGTGGTTAACATAAGTCACACTGCAACTATATATGATGAATATTGCCACATCATGAACTATGATCTTGGCTGAAAAATAAACAAATAATTTAAATACAACGTATTATGATATTCTATTTAGATATTTTCAGATTTTTTTCACAAATAAGCTACTACACTAGGATGTTATTAAATCTAGTTCAAACTCAATTACTCTTAGCAAAGAAAAACCAATATTTCAAATAAATACACTTGTAATATTTATAGAACATATATATTACAGAATGTAGTAAAAGTACCAACTACAAATTATGTTTTAAAGGGTACAGCAAATCCATTCACTAGGGGTGCCATTCCCTCATCCAAAATATTGACATTTGGATTATTAAAAATGAGACTCCTTATGCTAAACACAAAAATTTATTGGATGTTTAAAAATAAATTTTAAATGTGAGTTCAAGCAAAACAAAAACCAATGCCAAAAAATCAATTTTTAAAGTAAGTCATAATCATGGCCTTAAAAAGACTTTGCCAAAAACATCAATTGATTTAGTAATTATTGTAGTTCCAGAATAAATTCTCTCTACTGAAAATATGACAGAGATTGTAACTTCACCACTCCATCCCATCTCCCCAACAGGATTTTCCTATACATCTGACAGGCACAATTAACACATAAAAGATTGACTTCAATAGAAATGACACCTCCAACAAAAAGTAAGAGTGTAACATTTGTTTCTAAATAGCACATACTGTCAACTAGGAGAAAGCTTAACATTTTACTGCATCTAGCTAAACGTATTTATTCATAAAGGCAAGTTTAGTGGATTGTAACAGTACACATCCCGATCAATTAAGGGTTATGCTGCAAGGGATATGTCCTTAGCTTTGCTTTGCCATGCTAGTGGTGAGAGCTCTTCAAGATTTAGAGTGGTGAATTTGTTCCATCATGAATGTAAAGTAAAATCAATTGTCAATTATTAATGGTATAAAAAGTATAATAATTCTGAAGCATTTAATCAACAGCTTCTAACCAATATTCATCATGCTATATTTCAAAAAGTTGAGAATTCTAGGCATACAGCAAACGATGACACTTCTTAAGTAAAAATGCAAAGTTAATAAGAAAATGAACGTTTATAAGACTTTCACAAAGAAAAAATCTTAATCTCTAACCAGTTGAACAGCTAGAAAACAAGACATAAAACATACTCAGAACAATCAAACCTGTGCTGTACCTTAGAACCCACTCTGAAATAGCATCATCAGGTCATTATTACATAATATTGCTTTGCCCTTGCATATCACCTTTAATCAAGGGATCTCAAAGCACCACAGAATCATCAAGGCCTTAACATACAGCCTAAAACAGACAAATTGTTGTATTTTATAATTGCACATATTAATAAAACCCTGCGCCCACTTCCCAGTCTTCTGATCTTAACATCAGCCTCCAAACCCTCTCTCTGACTTGGAAACAGTATTCCCCAAATCATCTCAATCTATGACTGATGCTACGCACATTCCAGCTTTTCTTCATTGGACCTAAAGGAAGTAGTGGCACTGTTTTAATAACACACATCTATTTCATTCCAACTTCCAAGAGAGAATAGATGGTACTTAGGGTTAACCTATCTTGCACTGTGCTTGATGATATAAAATGGAGGCTTTCGGGAGAGCAAATCTTTGCTCGAGGCAATGAACCCACAGATCACTCATCAAACAAGGGAAATAGCATTTCCCAGCTCTGTCTAGAGACTGCTCCCGGCAACTTCAAGGGCGGTCTGGAGGAAACCTGGTCCAACCGTACCTAACCAGGCAAGAGGCTATTTCATGTGTGCACACCAGGAGAGAACGGAAAACTAAAAGGACAATGCACGAGTTTTAGGACTCGGAAGGAGAGTGTAAGGCTGGTATGAAGACACAACAGAACACTGTTCTGTTAAGAGACAGAACCCTGTGTTTCACTTTGCAATAAATGGGAAATTAAACAAGAGCAAAATGCCTTTTAAATCAAGGTCAAAGTAAACTATTTAGAATCATTTAATTTTTGCTACAAAATCTGTGTATGAGGTTTGATCCTATAGAAACATCTGGCGTTTTAAAATTTAATCATCAGCAAGCTGGGCACGGTGGCTCACGTCTGTAATCCCAGCACTTTGGGAGGCCGAGATGGGTGGATCATCTGAGGTTAGGAGTTTGAGACCAGCCTGGTCAACATGGTGAAACCCTGCCTTTACCAAAAATACAAAAAAAAAAAAAAAATTTGTTTTTTTAGCCGGGCGTGGTGGTGGGAGCCTGTAATCCCAGCTACTTGGGAGGCTGAGGCAGGAGAATCTCTTGAACCCGGAAGGCAGAGGTTGCAGTGAGCCGAGATGGCACCACTGCACTCCGGCCTGGGCAACAAGAGTGAAATTCGGGCTCAAAAAAAAAAATTTTTTTTTAATTTTTTAAATAAAATTTAATCATCAGCAAAGTTCAATTTTTTTCCACTGAATACACAAACACTCAAATGTTAACATATGTGAGCACAACTACATTAACTTCAATTCTTTCATAAACAGGATTATTCCTCTTCCTGTTAATTAACTGCATTATGTTTGTCCTTAGGAACTGCAAAGTGTAATTTCACACTCACACAAACCAATCCTCCAGCACTGTAAGGTTACACGGTTGCTGTTAGTCAATACTCACAACCTTAACCTTTATACACAAAACAAAAAGCGTCAATAAACAACAGTACTTTTTGTTTCAAGTTCTCAACACTCAGTGATCGAGGCTCAATACTATGTTTCCGTAGCTTTTTGTCTAATATGGAATCTACTATTAATAAATATTTGGCATTAAAAAGCCCTGGAATACTCATAAGTACCAACACAGGGTCAGCCTACGTTTGTGAAAATCCCAGAATATCTTAATATTTCTGTTGCCGTCCGTGTTCCGACATTTCAAAAGGCTGGCAGCAAATTCGAATCTACTTTTTCTTGAAGAGACGTGCATCACTGTTCTTGAAAAATATCAAGTTCGTCTCCACTGCACTGATGATCTCGTCTGTGTCATAAAGCAAGATTCCCGTTTCCCTACCTATTCTCTCGTAGGGACACCCGTCCTCGGCTCTGCCCACTGTCACTGACGTTTTCAGAAACGTTAATATACTACTGTTGGGAGGCTTCTAGCAAAGAGGGAGATATTTTGTCCCCTCAAGCTACCATGTTCCATTTCCCTACTTCTCCACTGACTTCAATGACTTAGAAAACACGACCAAATGAGAGAACCCATATTAAAAGCAGTACTTTCTAAAAGGAGGAAACCAGAAGCTGCAACTTCTCCAAATCGCTCAGCACGGTGGCTTTTCGACAGTCCCCAGCAAACCTTTGCCCCACGCCTGCCGTCTTTCCGATTAAACAAGATTGGAAACCACAATTAAATCAGAGTGTCATAACTTATCCGTCACTTACCATATCCGCCGGGACATTACTGGACATCTTGCCGTTGGACATATACCCAGATGTTTACGAAAAGAAACTGTGAAAAGAAGACTCAAGGCAAAAGCAAGAAGTCCATTTGCAAAGAATCGCAAGGAAGCAGGAAAATAAAAAACACAAGAAGTATTAAAAAAAAAAAAAAAAATACAACAAACAAAAAAGAGCAGAAGTCTTCAAGCTACAGAAATAAACCTTCACGATTCTGACTGGTTCGTGATGTGCTTTCTCTCCCCAAAATAAGTTATTTCGGGGCCAAAGTGCCAGCCAGGCCGAGGTTCTGGTGCGAGAAGGAACAATCCCCAGGAGCTGTGTGGCCGGAGCGGGAGGAAACTCCTGGGACAGCAGCGCAGCCCCTGTCGTCGTCGTCGTCGTCAGCAGCAGCAGCAGCAGCAGCACCCCCAGGACCGACCGCGCCAGGTGGACCGAGCCGAGTGACACACGGACATGGAGCGGGGTGGGAGGGGGTTAAATCCGCCTTCCTCTTTCCCAGCCCCGGTAATGATTCACACTCGCTCCCCAGTCAAGTCCTCATTAAGCAGGAGAAAAATGCCCCAGCGTGGATGTACATAGATAACTATGTAGCTACACATCGACGCGTGATCCTTGAGTGGCGGCCGAGCGGGGGCCGGACACCGGCCGCGGACCCTGCGGGGCCGCTCTCCGGACGCCGCGCGGACGGCGCGCGGACGGCGCGGGGAAACGGCTCAACTCGCACCGCCGGGGCGGAGAGCCGGGCCGCGGAAACCCGCGCTCAAGGGCATTTAACTAGTTGGGAACCAAAGCGAAAGCCCGGAGGGGGAAGGACCGAGAGCGCGGGGGTGCTTGAGGCCGGTCGGGACACTCCACAACCTCTCCGGGCTCAGGCCGCGGGCGCCTCCGGGCAGCAACGGGGGTCGGGGCGCATAGTCTCCAGCTCCTCAGCGCTCCTCTTCTGCCTCCGCCTCCCCCGCCACCGCCTCCCAGGTCTCCGCCTTCCCTCCCCTCCCCGGCCTCGCGAGCTCCGGGCGACGCCGACTTCGGCTGGTCCCCGGAAGAGGCCGGGTCCTCCCTCTCCTCAGCCCGGGAAGGGTTTCCTCTCAGAGCTTTGTTTCTGCTCCTCCTAATTCTCCACTTTTCAGTCCCACACGCCGCGGCCGCCTCCTGTCATCCCCTCTCAAACCAACATGGCGGCGGCGGCTGCCACAGCGCAAGTAGGGGAAACGGGGAGAGCACGGACCCCCCACCCCCTCCGGTGCAGCCACCGCCCCCGTCCCCTTCCCCTTCCCCTTCCTCCCTCCGCGGACACCAAGTGCGTCACCACGGAGACCACCCTCGAGCATCACGGGAAGTGTAGTCTAAGAAGGTGGGGGAGGGAGCCGCCGAACTCGTCCACGCTCGGCTCCGAAGCCACGCCCCCCATAGCAACAGTTGTGAGGAAACGAAAGCTCCCTTCCCTTGCTTTGAACGAGCTGCTGCCAGGGAGTTAGGTGATACCTTTTACCAGGAGTGCTGTGATCACGAGAACTGTTGGGAGAAAATAATTCTGCATAGAGAAATTCCCTTATGTACCATATGCACACAGATCTAAAATATGCTGTACCTCCAAGCAGAATAATTCATTTTAATTACAGCACACTCCCCACATCCTGCAATCTCAACGCATTTTGTAGAGTGATTTCATCTAGGTCTCCTCAACATTACATTTTGAAGAACAAAAGCAATCATTGATTTCCTATAAGGTCACTGAAGTTCAACAGGAACAAGGATCTCATTAAGCAATGAGAATGTTTGAACATGTGTTTCCTTGAAGACCCAGGGCCATAAAGCTACAAACTATTTAATTGAAATTACCAAAACTCTATTACATACAACAGTGTTATCATATCAAATCTGTATCAGGAAATAGCTACTACAAACTACATGGAGATTCACCAGTTTACCCATCTGGATCCTAAATTCTATTCTATGTAACTCATAATGTAATTGAAAACCTATATGCCTTGCAGTGATTAGCACATAGGAGAAAATAATGCCATTCTTGAGAGACCATTCAAATGGGCATTTGTGATTTCTGCATTTTGTTCCTAAATCTGAGGTCGACTCCTGAATCCCTATTCATCTCTCTCTTACTCCTTTGACAGAGTACTTGAGAAAGGGCAGTCTCAATATGACACCTATATATAAATCCTGATGGATTTAGAGTCTGAAAGCCACCTCTCCAACCTACAGCTATGTGACCTCATCTGTAAAATGGTCTTGCCTACCTTCAGGGGTAAAGTAGGGTAGTTGTGAGGATGAGGTCATGCATGGGAAATAAATCACTTTGTAAATAATAATGCATCATTTGATAGGAAATGTCACTACTCATTCTCTCATTCAGCAAACAAGCTTGCCAGGCACTCTGCTAGGCACTGGGAGTTTAAAAGTGAGTCACTGTAGCAAATAGCAATACCATGTGGCAGAAATGCCAAGGCCTTGGGTTGGCAGTGGGGGTCATTACATCCCTGTCCATAGAGCTGTTGAAAGGGGCAGAATCCAGTCACTGTCCTCAGGGAGCTCATTGTCTAGAAGCCTATGTCATTCCCCACAGCAATCTCTCCAGTTGGGTTTCTCATCAGACGGAAACTCACATGACATTTAGAGTACCTGCCTCTTGAGTAGCCTGGCTGGAGAAATTCCAAACACTCCTAAGGGCCAACATCACCCTGAAGAGGATAGATCAAATTCTCCAAAAAAACCAAAGGGCAGAAGAGAAGAGAGGCCCAAATCTCACCTTGATTAGGCTTCAGGACTTTGTCTGGATATTTCCGAGTCCACAGTTACACGATTTTCCATGGCCCTTGTTATTTGGTTGCCCATTTGCCCTGTTTAGCAACCAGAGTCCCCCTACCCCTCCACCAGCTTTCCAAGAAATAAGGCCAGGTGAAATGTTTCAGTTGACCAATGAGCTCAGAAAAAATATTGGAGAAGATTTTGAAAGCTCTAACTCACAGTTAGTCCCTCCACCACACTCTTGACTCCAACTTTTATCCAACAACCCCCCTGGCCATGGCACTGCCAGGCCTAAATGCTACTGTACGTAGAAAGGCAAGAAGCATAAGATGGCAGGATGTATTGAAGCACCAGCTCACACTTCCTCTGCCCCTTTTCAACAGCCCTACGGACAGGGATGTAATGACCCCCATTGCCAACCCAAGGCCTTGGCATTTCTGCCACATGATGTTGCTATTTGCTACAGGTTACCACTGCCACCTCTACAAAAGGCCATGTCTTTCAAAAATCGCTGTGTTTCCAATTACTCTTCTAAGAAAGGCTGAGACATTATTCTCAATAAAACTCATTATAACTCATCCCTAACATTGTTAAGGCATGAGGGAACATTATTGGACACAGTTGCAGATTTTTCCACTCTGTCTTTTCTCTCTGCTTCCCAGCTCAGGCGGGTGACATGGGAGGCTGTGGAAAGGAGTTCAGCTGTGTCCAAGCAGGAAAGGGTAGCATCTTCTCGACACTATGAATCTATTGTCAGCATCAGCTGGAAGAAAGTGAATGACACAGCATTTCTGTAAGGGAAAAATAACTTCACAGGAACTCAAAAAACCTGGCTCTGCCACGAATTAGTTATATGACCTTTTGCCTCTCTGAGTTTCAATTTCTTCATCTGAGAAGCTTGAACTAAATCTCTAAGGTCCCTTCTAAGAGTCTATGAGTGTCAAGTCCTGGAAAAATAGGGCATGACACCCATGTCCTGTTAAAAATACCTTCCCTAAGTGACTGCTTATGGGTAGGAGGGATTTGGGGAGAACAGGGAAGGTGGAATGGTGACAACCTAAAATTAGATTTTGGCGATGGTTGTAGAACTCTGTAAATATACTGGAAACCACTGAATTGTACACTTTAAAGGGGTAATTTTTATTTTTTAAATTGCAGCAAAATGCACATAAAATAAAATTTAACATCTTAGACTTTTTTACATTTTCAGTTCAGTGGCATTAAGGACGTTCACACTGTGCAATCACCACAAGCATCCCTTCATAGAACTCTTTTCATCTTGCTCTCTGAATCCATTAGGCACTGACTCCCCTTTCTCTCTCTCCCAACCACTATTCTACTTTCTGTTTCTATGTTTTTTTTACTACTCTGAATACTTCATATGAATAGAATCATATGGTATTTGTCTTTTTGTGACTAGCTTATTTCAGTTAGCAAAATGTCTTCAAAATTCATCCCTGTTGTAACATATGTCAGTATTTCCTTCTTATGGCTGAAATTATTCATTTATCCCCAGATAGACACTTGAATTGTTTCTATCATTAGGCTATCAAGAAAGGAGTGGATTTTATAATATGTAAATTGTATCTCGTACATTTATTAACAAATATATCTCCACCATCTACCATGTAAGGGGTCTAAAATGACCTGCATTTTAAGATCATTCCTGAAGGATCCTCTCAAGGAACCTCATCAACGTAAATTAACAAAATAGAAGGATTACTTTCTATGAGACCAGTAAGCTTTTATCATGTGGTTCTTGTCATCCACTGTCATTTACAAAGGATCAGCAGGTAGGAAAATGCCATAAGAAGCAGAGACAGCCTTTGCCATCTCCATTCAGTTTTGCCCAAGGCTGGCCTGATCTGCAGGTACCCAGACCCCAGACACAGCCTGGAGTTTCCCATCAAAGAGCAGCTGGAACGCTACGTTTCCTGGTCATGGCCCAGGGGCAGGGGCCTAGTTATGAGGGTGATCACAACTCTAGCATGCCTAAAGTTCTTCTTTAAGTCTTTTCTTTGGTTCCAGCCAATGTAAGAGTCACTTCAAAGACTTAGTAAAATGTTACTATACTTCCCATGAGAAACCTATGTGAAGCCCTCTAACATAGAAGGGGTCTCAAGAAATGTTGATTCCCACTGGGTGCAGAGGCTCACGCCTATAATCCCAACACTTTGGGAGGCCGAGATGGGTGGATCATCTGAGGCAGGAGTTTGAGACCAGCCTGGCCAACATAATGAAACCCTGTCTCTACTAAACATACAAAAAAAAAAAAAAAAAATTAGCCGGGAGTGGTGGCAGATGCCTGTAATCTCAGCTACTCTGGAGGCTGAGGCAGGAGAATTGCTTGAACCTGGGAGGCAGAGGTTACAGTAAGCCAAGATTGTGCCACTGCATGTCAGCCTGGGCAAAAAGAACAAAACTCTGTCTCCAAAAAAAGCGAAAAGAAAAAAAGAAATGTTGATTCCCTAT